CACACACACACACACACACACACACACACACACACACACACACACACCAGGGCTGGTCAAATGGGAAGAGAACCTTGGTCTGGGAGGCAGGGCTGCTGCCAGGGCATTTGTTCTTTCCGTGGTGACTCACTGAGCACAGGCCTGGAGCATTCTGATGGGTGCTAGGGACTGCTTAGTGAACATGACCAGCCCTGCCCTCTGGGAGTCACAGTAGAAAAGCCAACAACCTTGATGTGACATCGACCAGCACCCGGCAGATGGAGGCACGGAGAAGGGCCACCCACCCCAGACAAGACAAAGGAGGTGAGGGCTAAGCTGAACGTTAGAAGGGTGAATGGGAGTCGGCTCGGCTAACTGGAGCACAGCGGTAAGGGCAGGGCACGTGCGAAGGTACAGAGGGAGAGAATGTCCCCAGGGAGCGGCGAGTTGTTCCAAAGTGCATCTCAAGTTGAGAGGAGCGAGAGGATGGGGAATAGACGATCATGAAGAATGTTGTTTGCAGTGCTAGAGAGCTGGGCTCTGTCCCGAGGGCAATGGGGATCTGCTCTTGTGAGAAGTCACACGGTCTTAGAGAAATCACTTCCTCCCCCCGTGAAGGAGACAAGGAGCCCAGTCTGCTGTGGAGATGAGGACGGCCTGGGATCCGGTGGAGAGGAAGTTCCTTTTCCTCCTCTGGGCCTCCCTTTGGCCATCTGTAAATGACAGTGTAGGGTTGGACGGTTGCCAGGGGCCTGAAGCCCGATCCCAGGGCTCAACCTGAAGACACCAGGCCATCGCCCCTGTGCCAGCGTGGAGTGGGGTAGGGTGGGGAAGGAGTATCTGGCCTGGCCGGGGGCACTGTCCCCAGTGTTGCAGGGCAAGAGAGGGGCACCTTCTGGCCTCTCCCAAGCCTCCGTGTCCTCAGCAGTCCCACCGTAACTGCAGTGAACCCCACAACCTGTCCCAGCCCTGTGTACTCCCAGTTGATGTTTGATGGGTGGTGGGATGAGTGAGAGAACGTGTGTGTGCTGTGCAGACACGTGACCATGCGAGACACCGTGTGTTTTTCCATTGTGCTGTGCACGCCTGTCTGGTGTTAGGCTGTGCGCTGGAGGACCATCCACTGCCACTGCAGCTGACATCAGAGGTGGGCTAGAGGCACCTGACCCACCCCCGCTCTGCTCATGACACCCAGGTATCTTCCCCAGCACCTGTCACACTTCCCTGAACTTATTTGCAACCTGTCCCACCAGACTGGGGGCACACAGACGGTCCCAAATACCACTGCCCCAATGCCTGGCCTGGGAGCTCACCTCCATCACAGGGACCTCCCACCCACCTCTGCTTCCTTGGCTAGCAAAAAGTCCCAGACTTTATTAATTGTAGTTGAATTTAATCTAAGTGAGGAAAGTTTTTGCTCATTACAATATCTTCCTCGTTTACCTATTTGCAGACACTAAACTGAGCTATAAAATCAATTTGTTCCAAAGCCGCCCCTTTTTTCATTTTTCTCTCTGTCGCATCAAGGATAACAGACAGTCATACCTATGATAATAAACTCCATGACGAAATGGCCCTGCGTCCTGGAAACCAGGGAACCCCAGGTCTGTGGGCCTGTGCTCAGGCCCTGACTGTCGCGTCAAGATGCAGAATGAACTTTGCCTCTGCCCCTGAAATGGTCACTTCCCAGAGGAACCTATATCACATGTGCTGTCCCAGTTAAGAGCAGTCCAGGTCTCCCAGGCCAAGCTTCCATTCTTCATGTGAGACGATAAGTCCTTGGCCTATGGTCACGGGGCACTCACCACCCCATGAGATAGCTGCTTTTCCTGTGCTGTGGCTCTGGTGATGAACAGGTTAATAGCTTAGCTTGATCTCTCCTTTTCCCCCTGGGCTGGGATCAGTGTGTGGAGAGCCTCCTTTGTGCATGAATGAGACTAATTCCCAAAGAAGAAATGGGCTGATCCTGCCAGCCACACTCTAGCCTATGTGTGACCCTGTGGGGCAGGGCTCAGTCTGGGACCAGGGCCGAATCTCAGCCTGGGACTGGCAACAGGACTCTGCCTAGGGTTGGAGTTGGGACTCAACTGATCCTCACCTGCTCCTGGCACTAGTTATTAGGGACCTCTGCCTCTGCAGCTGCCCGCGCTGAGCCAAGGGCTCTGTCCATTCAAAAAGCAGAAGACAGACCTGGCTGGCTGGTCTGCACCTTGTACCTGCCAATCAGCTGGCCGTGGAGAGATCACTGTGCTCAGCCCTGGTCTCAGTGCTCTCTGACTCTGCCTGGGCAGTGACAGCAGCATTCATATGGAGGCTGGTGACATTGGAGCACACAAAGGCAGCCCAGCCTGCCTCTTCTCCTCTCCCTGCGCAGGGCATAATGCTGGCTCAGGGTGGTCTCAGCCTTCTCTGGCAGCTTTGTTCCCAGTGGAGGATGGCAAGAAGGGATAGGTCTAGCTCCCCTGGGGCTTCCAGCCCAGCTGGGACTGGGTCCCAGCTCTCCCTGCCCTCTGAAGATAGAAACACATACACACACACATGTGCACACACATGTACATCTTCCTTTGTACATCTGCCTTTGCATCTCATAACTCAGAACCAGAGATTGTCAGGGCTGGGAGCGGCCTCTAAGAACATTTCACTGATGGAGAAACTGCCCCAGAAGAGAGGGTGAGAATTGGGGTAAAATGCGTAGAGAGTAGAGACAGAGGCAGAGACAGTAAAGACTGAGTTGGGGCCCTGTCTCTTGAGCCCAGATCCCCCCAATCAGCAGGCACGAGCAGTGGGCCTGCCCTAGACACTCAGTGGAACCACAGGGAATTATGGAGCAGGCAGTCCTGAGGGGCCAGTATGGAACCAGTTTCAGGCAGCCCTGCCCAGGCCAAGAGGAAGAGAGGGTCTCACTTCTCACTTTATTCCCTCTGAAACCCAGGGCGGTAAGACCCGGGTGTGTGAAATCCTCCAGATAATTTCAGCCAGATTCTCCCCTGGACTCATGTCCTTAAATGACAACACCACCCCCGCCCCCAGTCACCCAAGCGGGAGACCTGGCATTATCCCTGCCTCCTGGCTCCTGTTGGAAGCCACCCACCCACTCCTCTCTCCAGTTCCTCCTCACCGGGGCTGGCACTCCCCGAAGTCCCTCTCTATCCCGGCCCCCACGGCTTGGTCCGGGTCTGCACCCATTCAGGCCATTTGATCTCACTAGACTCTTCGGTGGCTCCCTTGCTTCCTTCGAAGCCCCTCCAATCCACTTCCTTCCCAGAGGCTAAGGGGACTTTTCTAGAGCGCACATCTGCACATGGACTCGCCACTCCCCCTGTCGCCCCCTCCAGTGTCCTCGCTCAAGGAGGAGAAAGGCGGCGAGCCACCCGATTCTGGCTCCTCGGGCGGGCGGGCGCGCGCGCTTTGCTGCGCCATGCAACCCCTGGGCCTCGATCCTCGGACGGGTCATTCCGCCCACCAGGCCCACACTCTGCGTTCCCGCCACCCTCCCCCGGACCTTGCCGGGGCCTGAGAAGGCGGACCCGGGGCAGGGCTGGTGGGCCGGGGGCGGGAGCCTGGGCCAGGGCGAGAGGAGCCGCCTGGCCCCGCCCCCTGGTGCCGCCATTGGCCGCGACCTAGCGGGTGGACCGGCAGCTCCGTGCGCTTTGCAGCTCCTCTCAGCCAGGGTCCCGACTTGGCAGCTCCGGGCGATCCGGCGCAGCGTCCGGAGGCTGTCCGGAAGGTCGGGCTGGGCGAGCAGGGCCAGGACCCTGCGCTCTCTCGGCCGCTCTGTCTCGAACCCAGCCCCTGGCAGCCACGCCGGACGCGCACTCACACTCCCTCTCGGCGCGCGGCTCCGGGGCGCGATGGACGCGGCACTGCTCCACAGCCTGCTGGAGGCCAACTGCAGCCTGGAGCTGGCAGAAGAGCTGCTCTTGGACGGCTGGGGGCTGCCCCTGGACCCCGAGGGTAGGCGGGAGGCGAGCGGACAGAGGCGGCGCGGGCTCCTTCCCTGGCGCGCTGGGTGCGCCCAGGGCCCCGCGCTCCGAGCGCCTCGCGCCCTACATCCTGCGGCGCCCCGCGCCCCCAGCAACCCCTCTGAGCCCCGCTCTGCTCTCTCCCGTCGTCAGGTCCCTACTCCTACTGCAACACGACCTTGGACCAGATCGGGACGTGTTGGCCCCGGAGCGCGGCCGGAGCTCTGGTGGAGAGGCAGTGCCCCGAGTACTTCAACGGCGTCAAGTACAACACGACCCGTGAGTGTACCCCGGACCCTCCGCCGCGGGTTCAGCACCCGCCTCCCAGGAGGGCGGTTTAGGGGGTAGCGAGGGCTCCGGACCCAGCGTCGAAGACCTGAGGGCGGTGGTACCGTCCTACGGCCGGCGTTAAAGACATAATACTGTGGGCGCTCCCTCTTACCCCTACCTCACCGTTAGCTTCAGTAAGGCAGTGATTTGCCCACGATTTCCGTGCTCCAATGCGCAGAGAGCCCAGAAAGGGGAGAAGGAAACACTTCTTTCCTTTTGAGGACGAACCTCTCTCCCACATTATGTACTCTTGGTGCCTGAAGTTTCTCCATTAGGGCGTCTCTGTGTTTAGCCAATTTCCGCCCCCCATCTCCCCGGGGAGGTGGGACGGGGTGGGGCGCATAGACTAAGTTCCCAACCCCCAGGGTGAGTGCCACGATCAGACTCTACTGTGGGAGAGGAGGAGAGCAGGAGGCAGGAAAAATGGGGTGAGGCTTGTGTTGGGGGGCATGCAAAGCGTAGCCGTTTCTGGGCCGGAGTGTGGGGTGTAGCCTCTTCCCTACCCGGATGTCCCCGGACTGGCCCTCTGGGCTGTGAGTCCGGGGCGGTGGTCAGCATTACTCCTGCTACCCAGGTAACGCATGGTGTCTGAATCAGGACCGCCCACCCCCACTCCCTGGGAGAACAGCCTGTGCTCTCCTTCCTCCTGGCCAATCACCGGCTGGCTTGACACTCTGGGGAGGACGGCAGCAGAGGCTACAGGAGTCACACAGCATCCAGGTGGGGTTGTTCCGGTTGGGCTCTGGGAGGGGAGGGGGTGCCTGAGTCTATGCCCTGTGGAAGGTCTGATGGGAGCCAAGTGGGAGTGTCTTGTGAGGCTGTGGAATGCAGCATCACTAGCCCACCCTGAACAGCCACTCACATTTCCAGCCCCGCCCCACCAGCAAAGAGCCTTCTGAGACACTGGGCAAGAGTGGAGGGCAGCTGCTTGTCTGAAGCCCCTTATCCTGGAAGCATCATAGCAACCTGTCTCTGAATGTGTGTCTGAATAGTGGCACAGCTCCCCTGTCGCCTCACTCGCACGCGTGCGCGCACTCACACACACATGCCTGTCCAAACTCAGGCCTTCACCCTGAGAATGGTTAGAGGGCTAGACCGTAGCATCTGCATCTGAGGCTGAGTGGCATTCCCCTGTCTGCACCAGCGGAGGGCTCTCGTGTCCCAGAGAACAGCTGTGCTTGGAGGAGTCCAATGGCAGTGGTGCTCCTAACGGAAGGGAGTGAGAGAGGTAGTGGGGCTGCTGAGGAAGATTTCTGCGTCATCTGACCACGCTTCCTATCCATGATTAAAACAAACCTCCCTGGGAGGAGGTGATGTCCCTGACCCAGGAGATGTGCAAGCAGAAGGAATGGCTTCCACGCTCCTTCCCAGTCCTGAGATCATAAAACTGTATTTTTAGGATCTTGTGAGCCGTGTGGGGTGGGGCAGTGGAGAGCCGGGGCCCTGACTCAGTCTAAACCCAGAGACCAAGCGCTAAGTGAGGTGATGCGGCCCCTCCACCCCACGACCTGTGGACCTGAGGCAGCTCTGCTCTGGTTCCTACAGCCTCAGCTGTCCCCTCTCCCCTCAACCAGCCTGGAGCCCCCAAGGACAGGGCCTGGATCTCTTCTCCATTGCCAAGCTGAGCACAGTATTCAAACAGTTTATTAAACAGCTACTATGTGCCAGCCACTGCCCTGGCGTTGAGGCCCCCACTCACAATTGCAACAGACAAAAGGGATACAGAGTGATAAATGCCCTGATTGGGGAGTGCAAGGGGGCTATGGGACGAGGAGGGAGAGGGGAGGGGAGACGAGAAGACTTCCCAAAGGAGGTGCCGCAGCACGTACCAGACCACTCACATCACGTCAAATGAGAAGCTGAAAAAAAGGTCAGGGTGCCACGGAGGTTGGCAAACGTAGTGCCAATTAGCCCCTGGTACTAATGAACAATTTTCTTCATTTGGACCAAAGTGCTGACTGCTGGCAAATGGGAGAAGCGTGTGGGGCAGAAGCAGCATTGCCATTAACCAGCGTGGCGGCTGAAGTGGGAAGAGCCAAGGTCGCTAATGGCAATGGCAGTGGGGCGATTGATTTCTTACCTCCCCTGCCTCCTAGCCACCGCTTCCTCCTGCTCTGTTTGCCTTTTCAGTGGGATCTTTCCTGGAGAAAGAAGGACACGGGGAGGGAAAAAGCTCCTATGAGAAGCCTGGGGGAAGAGGAGGAAGGGTCCCAGCTCCTCTTCCTACCCAATTTTGTTATGCTACAGCCAGACCCCCGCTGAAGCCTCATGTTTTAGAGAGCGGGCATTGCCTGCATGGGACAGAAGCTTAGGCAACAGTCCTCGTGTACTTTTCGTCCACTCAGCTGAGCACAGAGAATCGGCCACAAAGCTACCAAGTGTGGATCGTGGTCCAGGTGCCAGCTACCACTGAGAGAGCTTTGCATACATAATCCCATCATCCCCACCTCCCTAAGGCCTCCTGAGACATGTACTGCTCTTATGCCCATATTGCAGATGAGAAAACTGAGGCTCAGAGACATGAAGTCAGTTTTTTCAAGGTTATAATCAGCTCCCTCAGCCGTCACTCTTTTTTTTTTTTTTTTTTTTTTTTGGCGGTACGCGGGCCTCTCCCGTTGCGGAGCACAGGCTCCGGACGCGCAGGCTCAGCGGCCATGGCTCACGGGACCAGCCGCTCCGCGGCATGTGGGACCTTCCCGGACCGGGGCACGAACCCGTGTCCCCTGCATCGGCAGGCAGACTCCCAACCACTGCGTCATCAGGGAAGCCCTCAACCATCACTCTTAACCACTGGGCAGCACTGCATCCGTGAGAGACAGTTTGCAAGAAGAGCTTAGAGGGACAGGAAAAGACTCATGCCTTCACCCTGGGGGATCAGGGAGGGTTTAGCCTCTGAGCTGGACTTCTGGGGACAGGTGGGATTTTAGTAGGTGAAAGTATAGTAAGTCTAGGGGAAGAGATGGGGACTGTACTTTGTGCCTCGGGACTGGCCAGTGTTACATGGAGCACAGGTAGTAGGAGAAAGAAGCAGATGAGACCAGATGGCTGGATGCTGGTCAGATGACCCACAGTATTGCAGAGGACTTCACCTTTGGTGCAGGAGGGAGCCTAGGGGAGCTTGTGAGCAGAGGAGCTCAGCTTTGGGACACAGAGTCTCTGGTGGCAAAAGGAGGGGTTAGGAGACTCCTGTAACTGACTCAGGTCAAGTGGAGGCTGCGAGAGCAGAAGAGGGCAAGGATGCATTTGTAACTGACAAGACTGGCATGAGACAGGGAAGAGGGAGGATTCAGGGACCACACTAGGAAAATGCTGAGTACAGTAGAGGATATGTGGTCTGAGGGGCTGGAGGGACGTCTGAGTGAAGATATGGAGAACGCAATTGGCTGGTTGAGGAAGCCCAGGCTAGTGCCTTGGTCTGGAGACAAGGTATTCAGGAGTTTTTGTGTGGTTAGCTAAGAGCTACAGGTAGCAAGTGTGGGAGACTCGGTCAGAGCCTTGTTATTCTTACCCAGAGACTGTTTCCAGATTCAGCAATGGCCAAGGGAAGGGAAGGGACTTGTTCAAGGCCACCCATGCTCGTCCGTGGCAGAACCCAGTTAAGTGCCCACGTGTCCGAGTGCCCTCCAGTGTTTTCCCCCACCTGGTGCAGGTTCTGTGTGTCTGTACTGTCTTTGACCTGTGTTAACTCATTAATCTTTACACACACCCAATAACAGACATAGTATTATCCTCATATTACACATGGGGAAACTGAGGCACAGAGAAGTTAAGTGACTTTCCCAAAGTCACACAGCTTATAACAGAACAAGGATTCTAACTAAGGTTCTGCTGCCTCTGAGAAAGCAAATATGATGGGTTAAACAGAGAAGGAATTTGTTGAAAGGCTATTGGGGAGCTTACAGAATTACTGGATGGAACGGAGAACCAGAACCAGAAATGGGGTCCCCAGCCAAGAACTCAGGGCAGAGCTGGCCCAGTGAGGGAACCCCTACTCTCCCTGAGTGGGCCCTGACAACGCCACAAGCCCTGGCCACCAGATGGGCCATGGCCCTGCTGTCATCACTGCCTTGGGTTTTTAAGCTTCCTGCAGTGGTCCCCAGGAAACACTCTGCCCATCTCCATTTTGTGGGCCCCCAGCTCACTGATTTCCTCGGGGCCAGTGCATCTGTTGAGGCGGGAGGAGTGTGGAGCTTTGGGTCCCACACTCCAGCTCTGGCTACAAGGGAGCCTAGAAGATGAGGGCCTGGCATTTCAGCCCTGTGGCAGGAGGTGTTCTCTGCCTCTCCCCGAAGCCCATATGGGAATCAGGTTCAAATTCTGGGCCACCCAAAACTATCATAATGTCCATACACAGTAGAACCTGGGGCAAGTCCCACCCCCTTCCTGGGCCTCAGTCTCCCTGTCTGTAGGGAGAAGGGAAGTGGATTAGCCCAGCAGTGGTCTGGCCAGAGGTGGGCACTGTATTCCATTTTCCTCCCACCTCTCACCTGTATTCCACTCCTGTGCCCATCTCTGTGTGCGTGTCTCTCTCTGTGTTGTTCTCTTTGTCTCCATGGCTCTATCTCTGTTTCTATTTCTATGTGTGGTTCTATCTCTGTCTCTGGGTGTATTTTCTCTCTGTCTCTTTTTGTGTGTATGTCTCTGTGTATTTCTCAGTCTCTATCTTGTTTTCTATCTATGTGATTCTCTTTCCCTCCCTCCCTCTCTCCATCTTCCTTCTTCAGCTGCCTTCCTCCCTCTCTCTCTCTCCCTCCCCCTCCCCCTCTCTCCCTCCCCCTCCCCCTCTCTCCATCCCCCCTCCCTCCCTCCCTTCTCCCCAAATCCTCTATCTCTCCCTCCTCCCATCCCTCGTTCTATCTGCCCCACTTAGGCACCTCCCCTTGCCTGTCCCTGTGGGCCTCGTGTCTGCAAAGGAGGGTCCCGCAGCCTCGTGGACAGGGTCATTTTCC